GCCACCCTTAATAGAAGGCCACCCTGAAAAGTCCGATGTGAATTTCCATAATAGAAGGCCATGGCCTTTTATTCTGGGGGGGGAGTTTACTCGAAGTAGCCATCGTGCTAGAAAAATTGAAAACTACGGAAAAAGTTACTTAATTCGATGACGAACGTGAATGCGAAGACTATATACGTACTCTTCCATTGACAGAAAATATTGTCCTAATCATTGATAAATGTTTGTCCGAATATACAATTCCTCGAATGATTCTATTATGCCAAATGGGTTGTATTTTCATTTATTTCACTACGCAAATAGACAGTGATATCCATGAAAATAAAAATTCGGTAAGTGATCGTCGTAATCCATGTGATAAAAATCGTCTAAAAGTCGACGATTTTATTGTGATTTATTTTGCTGATTAATTGTGAGATTATATCACGATAAAATTGCCAAAATAGACGATTGTTGTTGGTTTTTTAATGAAAAATTGCGACTTTTTAGAACGAAAAATACGGCTGTGTTCGGCACTGTTTCTTGTCAAATAGAACTTCAGAGAACATCCTAGACCACTCACTGTCCAGAATATTTTTAAGCTAAACAATCCGTTTCTGATAATTAATAAATCTAAACAAGTAATGAAAAATAAATTATAGTCTTTTATTCTAGTTTACGTAGAATTTAAAACTTGAATAATAAATCTAGTTACAAAACGAGAATGCAAAAAAAAATAAATTTATATTTACACTTAAAGGTACATTGAATTCTTGATTCTTAAATCTAAATGATGGATCAAAAAATGTAATAATATTTTTCTTAACTTAACAGTAAATTGAAATGAAAATAAAGAGTTGAATAGTGAAGAAAACAGAAATAAATAAATTTTATTTCAACTAACTATTATTTTAAAATTTATAATCTAAATCTAAACAAAAAGTAAAAACGCAAAAGATTAAATGAACTATTACCTGTGTATTCAAATGATTCATTATAAGTGTAAACAAAGTGTTAAGGCATATACAAATATTTAAAGATAGTTTACCGATATATTTAGTTGTGAAATTAATTACAAATTTAAAGAAAAAAAAACGAAATGATTTAGATTAATTTCAGAATAACATGGAATAAATGAGACATATAACACATAACAATCCTTATTTATTACCCATGGGTCGGTATAAATGATCCAACAAAGGATATCGCCGGATAAGTCCGTAAATCTGGCTCTCCCCCCCCCCCCCCCCCCCCCCCCCCGCGTCTCGCCCCGCCGCGACGAGACACCGCTGTAGCCTCCACAGNGATAAGTCCGTAAATCTGGCTCGCCCCTAAGCAGTGTTCCAATCAGTCTAAAAAGAAAGCCTGTTGATTTTTACATTGTTTTGTGTCTTTTTTTCTGAAATTTCATGGGGCCAGATTGACTTATGCAGAGGTACTTTGCGTGAGGGGAGGGTTCATCTCTGCACGAGACACATTTTGTCTACATTTTCTGACTATGTGTTGTTCGAAGATGAGAGCAAGCAGAAAATAATAATTAGAGGTCTGTCATAAGGAGGCAATTAAGAGCTGTCATCGTATAACTATTTTATCTATTATATCTTCTTTCGTTTGACTATCATGTTTGAATGCGTATGCGTTCTCTTTCAGAGTATGTTTGGGTACACTCATTTTCTATCTCTTTCTTTTTATATGAATTATGCATGTCCTCTCTCATACTGTCTAGTGAGTTTTTCGCTCTTTATAACATTCAAATGAGTTCTTCTCCATTCTGATACTTGAACCAATGAAGCATTGTATATAAGTGATAACATAGTACTACTCTTTGACTAATAGTTGATTAGTGGTCGACTACATTCATAAAATGAACAAATAGTAAATACATTTCTATTTAATCATTGCTCACATGTCTCGATCATAAGAAGGAGTATTTCTTATAAAGTCTTAAAAGTATTATTAAGCCTGTCATAAAATAAATTATGTTGTGCTTCATCAACTTCAATGAGTTCTAATGTCGAATACATTGGATTTAATCTCTGTAAATTTTTCAATTTCATTCTGGAAAGTAGATGTCATATAGTTGAAATAAAAACAACATAATACATACTATCACGAAGAATTAGATAATCATAATTTAGAAGGTTTCTTACCATTGATAACCACGCACTTACACATGTATCTACATTCTCCAGTGAGAATTCGTACAGAACTAAATAAGAATGAAACTAGAATAGGTGAACTCTTTTTTGTACATGCTTTGGGAAGTCAGTTGAGTTTCTTGATTCCTGGTCTCGGTTTACGCAAGTAGTCGGTAGATACTTACTGTATGTAGATCAGAGATGTGCACGGGATATTACGTAATGCCCCATAATGCCTCGTGCACCTCTCTGATGTAGACAGACCGCAGCATATTCTTTGGCGACCTCTCAAATGGCACGATGTTCGCTATGTACATGTCATTCCAAAGTTGTATAGCTTATTAAACCTTTATTTGAGTTCATTGTTTGTATAAGTTTATCAGATAAATGACAAATTTATTTCGATGACTTGGCACAACATCTGTTCTATTTCTACTCATTTTTCTTCGAATGCTCACTGTATTTTCATTGTGTTGACTTGTTTTCCGAAGTCCAGAAGGAATCCGATTTCAATCGTATTCTTTAGGCAAATTCTATCAAGTAACCTTCAAATTAGTCATTGAAAATTCAATGAGATATTATTCATATCCGCGTTCTGTCGCCGTTAGTGACTTTAACAAAGACATTTGGCCCGATATAGCTGTAGCCAATACTGAGATTGATAGTGTCGGTGTATTCCTTGGAGACAGGTATCGAGCTTTTACTAGCCAACAGGTATATTTAACTGGTTCTGGTTCTCATCCCTATTTTATTGCTGTCGGTGATTTCAACAATGACCAACACCTAGATATTGCTGTTGCCAATTATGACACTAACAACGTAGGTATACTTCTTGGACATGACGACAGAGCTTTTTCCAATCAAATAGCGTTCTCCATTGATCCCTCACATCCGATATCTATCGCTGTTGGTGATTTCAATAACGATACATGGCTGGATATTGTCGTCGCTAATTATGGAACTGACAACATTGGTGTACTCCCTGGACATGGTGATGAAAGTTTTGAGAACATGACTATGTATTCAACTGGAGACGGTTCTAAACCCTTGTCAGTAGCCGTGGATGATGTCAATAACGATATGTTTTTGGATATTGTAGTTGCTAACTTCGGAACTGACATTATCGACATATTTCTTGGATACGGTAATGGAACTTTTACAGTCTTGATGACGTACTCAACTGAGATTGGTTCACATCCAGTATCGATTGCCATCAGTGATTTTAATAATGATAATTGGTTGGATATTCCTGTGGCAAATAAGGGTACTAATAATGTTGGTGTGTTTCTGGGATATGGTAACGGAACTTTTACGAAACAAAGGACATATTCGGTGGGGTATGGTAGTAATCCGAACTGGATCGCTGTTGTGAATTATGCCACAGACATCGTACTCATTCTTTTGAAGATTTGCCAGTGTTGAGTTTTTCTTGTGAAATTTTCGTATGGTTGTTGTTTTCATGATTTGTAAAAAATTTTGTTATATGTTTCGAAATTATTTTGCTTTTCCAATCAATATTTTAATGTTATTAATTATATTCATCTTAATGATCTAAAGGTAAAAATATGGATATGTTTTGTTAGATCGACAATGGGAACATGTGCTACTCACCTAAAAGTTGTGAGCTATTGACCCTCGATATCCCTAGAGCGCAGTAGTGTATTGTGTACAATATCTACATATGGCCCAGGTAGACAAGGGTAGCTTATAAACACTATTGACAAAAAGCCTTTCTGGTTTCAATTCAACAGAAAAAAAAACGTTAATCCAGGCTGACTACTCGACTGTTTTCATATATTGACATTTGCCATGTTTCAATGTAAAATATGAGCAATACAACGCATTGTTTTTATTCTACTACGAACCTCTCTAAACAATAGTATAATACATTCTCATTTTGTCAATATTGAAAACTTTGCACTGTGTCCATAATGGACGAATTTCTGTTAACAATTGAAATATCAACTAAGCCTTATTATTTGGAGTAACTTCCTTCTGAGCAGATCAAATAGAAGTATGCGCCTACGTCTAAATTTGAGTATAGATAGTGGATATGGGTGGGTGTGACTGTTGTTACATTCTTTGACAATACCCACACTCTTGCGATTTTTTATTCAAGATTTCAATATCTCAACATTTCTTATGTTTCGATATGAGTATGGTAAATCATCTAAACTATCGAGAAACAACGATATTCATTATTTTTTGTATCAATCCACTAAAAATTTACTTATCGACACTTGTCAATGTTGTAAATGAGATTGGATCTCCCTAAAGTATTTTGTTTGATTCTTTATCAAACCTAATTTTCACTGACGAAAACCTATGCTTGAAACATCATCCAAACTTTCAAAGCCTTGCAGATATTTGATGTCGATTCCTTGACATCATTTCGAACCTAATATGAAATCGTTCCACAGCGATAAGCCTAATTCTATTACATTTACCTTGTTCTTCATTTACAATGTTCAAACATGAGGCTTAGTGTTGGAATGTCGGTGGATGAATAGAAAATCCATTTATGTACCCATCGATATGGAAAAGTTATTTTCTTATTTTATTTAATTTTACAATGATATCATGAATGAAAATTTCATTGTAAAATCAACTCTACCGTTGTTCATACAAATATTACTTGTGTAAAACTAATCCTGTTTGAAAACAAATTTTTCTTTCTCATTTTCTGTTCCAGGAATATAGAAAAAAAATTGTTTCTAATAGATGTGTTTTTCTCTCAATAAGTCAGTTTTTTTTATATTTATGCTCTTTAATTTTATGATTATTTCAAATTAACCTTGCAGTTCCATCATATTCATTGCATTTGTTTATCATATGATCAACGGTCTCCATTAATTAGCTTGGTCATTGTTATTATTTTTCTCGAAAAATATAAATATCCAGTATCTTTAGTGGAATAATGAAGATAAAATGAAATGATGAAAATAATCTACTTACCTTCAAAATATTGCTTCAACCTTCGACAATCATCTTGGTTTAATCAATAATCGAGTGTATTTCGCATGAATTAATAGATGAGATTTGTCGGATTATTTTCCCACTGCCGCTTTTTCTCAAGTTTTGTTCTTTTTTGTGGTGTTTACTTTAACTATTACCTTGTATGATGAATTGCACATGGTAACATATGAAAGGTTTCTACTACCAAATGAAATTACATAGGAATATGGAAAAAAGAAAGCTAGATAAGTGATAACAATAGTTAGGAGTAAGATTATTAAAAAAATTATCACCATTATTTTGATTTCTCCCACTGGCAAGTTACACAGAGCTTTCGTTTCGCGTTAGTTTTCTAAGGAACAAAATGCACTTTGTGCCATTCAATATGAAAATTTTTTCATGTGATTTTATTGTTTCGTTTCATATATTTCTTTCGTTCTTCACATGAACAAAACAAAGAATCTGAATAAAAGACAGACAAGTTGGCAAGTAGTGATTGAAAGAAAGACTGTCAATAGTATTGTAAATAGGGGTATCAGTTTCGGGTTCCATTCCCAGGTACGCGAACCCGGTGCGGGTTTCCGCTCCTAGAAACCTGGAACTCCTGCAGCTTGCCGTTCCTGGTAATAAAATTCACACAAAATGTTTTGTAAGGGCTAGTCATGAACAACCCAACGATACACATTTCATTCAGTCATAATTGACAGTACTGTGATGATAATTTTCTATTCTTTTATTGATTTTTACGGGTCAGGTTCCTATTCAAGATATGAAATGTGTGAAACGGTTGCCTATACGACTCTCATAACATTACTGATAGAATCGAACAAAAGCATTTTTCAATACGTCAACTTGCGTTTATTATATACTATTTCAGAATATTTTTGCTCCGAAAGTAATTTCAAAATTTTCGACAACTCATATCAATAGCTACATTACTTAGGTCTTTTTTTGTTGTTAATCATGCTTTTTTCCTACATATGGAATGATAGTTAGGCAAACAATATAGCAAGTAAAGGGTGTGGGTGTAGTTTTGTGTGTCAAGTGCTTCTTAACTCACACCCACACCCTCAATTTCAAAAAACAACATAGGTTAAGATGTAGTAGAAAATAATATTGAGAAACTGCATAGTATCAAATATGAACCACAGTAATATTAAGAAACCAGACTGATTCTGTTTTATTATCAAACAGACCTGACTGGGTGTGAGTATGAGTGATTATTTCTTCTATACACTCCACCCATATTCCACTCAGGCTACCTCACATCCACCCCACCCCATAATCGAGTTGATGAATTTAGATTTACAAAAAGTTATTCAATCAAGAAATAAATTCTAAAAAATTTAAATTTATAATAAATTTAAGTTAGCAAGAATTTTAGTATAGATTAAATTAAGAGGAAAGTGCCATGCCTATCAGAGACTAAAATGCACTCTAACCGAACCAAACCCGAACCACTCTTTCAAAAATGGAGTCGAACCAAACTGAACCCGAACCAGTAAAACTCGGTTCGTTTCGATCTCTGATGCGTAATAATTATTGTGTCATGTTTTATATCCAATAAACTTATTTTATTATTCAATATCATTCCATTTGATTAAAAGTTCGTATTTTGAACTTTTTTATTTGATGATTCAGATTGATTTGTTTGATAATTCGGTTTTCCAGAATTCTTCACATTAGCAATACGAAAACTTTCTAGAATACAAAAAAACTCAAATATTTTATGCAATAAATATTAATTCAATAGGTTTTTTTCAATTCAACCTACAAATATAACATTATATTTTGTCAACATACATAAAGAAAAATAAGAATTTTCTTTATTGCGTTAAACAATTACAGAGTGTATATGAGCCATTTCTGACACAACGAAACATACTCAGTTTTTATGTGACTTTGGTTTTTTATGAGGATAATTTTTTTTAACAAGTTCTTTTAGCTAACTATTAATTAAAATTAGTTAATTAATTATATCTTAATTAGGAAATATCTCTTTTAATTATACCAGAAAAAAAACTAAAAACTTCAGAATAAACTCTCTACAACACGAATTGCATCTGTACTGAAACTTTAAACGAAATTGGATTCCGAAAAACTGCCTAGTCAAATCAGTTTTCTAGAAACTTCAACAATTCTGAAATTAAAATGTTCACCTTACCATCATGTAGAAATTTTCATGAAAGATTTGTACCGTTTGACATTTGTTTTGAACTTCTCATTTGGTTATAAAACCTTTTTTTCGTTTGTAAATTCGTACTCCATCACGTTGTTTCTTGACAATTTTAGAAATACTCAGAAAAAACTTTGGATTAAGATTTTTTAGCTTCAGAAGGTATCTACAGAATGTACAATATAGTTTCTAAAAATGTAGCATCAATTCGGAGGCATTTCGAACTAAAATGCTTGATTATTGTCACGTCATCAACCTTAGATTTGTCACTGATTACATCTTTGAACACAGATCTTTAATGCTAACTTTTTCATGATATCTAAAGTAACCTCGCATACATATTGCATATAAAAATAATTCTAAGAAAGTTCATTATCATGAGATACATGTGTTCTAATTCTGCAAAGTCACGTCGGTAACGGATGATATAGCCTATATATGAATTTACTTAGATTACATAAGTTTGATGTCTCTAAAAGACTTTAGACAAGTCGAAATTGAACTTGAATGTAACAGAAGATATTTCAAGTAGAACGCATCATATTTTAAAATTTTAAATGCGGCGAATTCTTATTTTGACGTTTATCAATTCTTCGAAAACAGAATAATAATTGTTTAGAAAGTTGAAATAGTATTCGCCAGTTTTTCAGCATACCATAAAATGAATAAACATATATGAAATGAAGTTTATTAACTTCTAATTTAACAAAAAGACTACAAGAAATTTGACTTCGATTTATCAAAAAAAATCTAATCATACTGATGATTATATATCACGTAAACAACTATAAAGGAATTTCGTATTTATGATCTTACCAAGAAATTCATTAATATCAATTCTTCCATTTTTATCTAAATCCATAGCAGAACTAAGTTCTTCAATATATGCTTCATTTATACCATCGGTGTTATTTTCATCATAAAGTAAAAGTTTGAGAACATCAGAAAATTCATTAGGACTTATAAAACCTATGATATTTGTATATATAATTAATAAATATTCATCAAAATAAAAGAATTCATACCTGAATGATCCTGATCTATTAAATTAAATAATCGTATAAGTAAATCTTTCCACATGTATAAATCTTCCATAATGCCAGAATTAGACTAAAACAATAAAAATACACAATATTAATTTATAATTCCTTCTTTTTTTTTTCTATACTACATGAAATTTCGTATTATCTAAAGCATATTCATCGAACATAGTATTATAAAGAATTCCTTGTTTATCTTCGTGTACAAGTTTTGAACGTAATGTAAGCCAAGGTAAATCAATTCGAAGGACGTTCGTCATAATCTCAGACCAAACTTTCAAAGGTATATGATCTAATTATAAACAAAAAATAAAATTCTTATTCGAACAAAAACAAAAAAAAAATATTATTATAAGTTGTATACTAGTTTGATATCTATCTCGTTTTTCAAATTCTTTTTGAAGTGAACTTTTATTTGTCATAATTCTTTCCAATAATGATTGATAAGCTGGATCTTCAAATAATGTTATTCTTTAAGACAAAAAAAAAAGCAAAACAAGAAATAACAGACATTATTTCGGTTTTAATTATCTTACTGTTTATTAAAACTCAATGTTTTCATTTCAACGAGTTCAGTTTTATATGAAATTAACCATGGCTCTTGTTCATTATAATCCCTAAAATTAATTTGATATTTAAAAAAGAAAAAGAATATCATATATACAAACCACCGTATAATTGCACCCCAATTTAAACCACCACAATAATTTGATGCACTAAAAACAGTTAAAACTTTTTCATTATGTGTATATTCATAACCCTTTTGTTTGACTTGATGTGAACGTATAATCATTGAATAATTATATTTATTAAGAAATTGTTCTGTTATATTTGGACCAAAAAAACAACCTATATTTCTTTCATTATTATGTCGACAACCTTTACGACTATGAGGATCAGGATCACTCCAAAGTAAATCTAAATATAACTCACATCAAATACATAGAATCATTTGTATTATCATTACCTTGTATTTGACAATATTCATCATCTTCATCAGCAGTTAATCGTTTACCACCACTTTTAGATTCTGGTGGTACTTCCATTGAAACATCTACAAAACGATAAACATTAACATTGTTTAAGGTGCTGAAAATTCGAAGTTTGAACGAAATGTTTTTTTTTGTGTACTCAAAAAGTGAGCACACTCTAGAATCGGTCAGTATGTCCGGCCGTTTACACAATAACTTTCGAAAGGAGAGTCAGATCGTGATGAAATTTTCTACACAGTTCAGTCTTAACAATGTCTCGGTCGAGTTCGAAGATGAGAAGGATCCGTCAAGAAATGGCTGAGTTATCGAAAAAATTGTCATTATTGACCAGACCATCCC